ATCGCGTACATGGTTGTTTTGAGTGCACGGAAGCTAAACAAAGATGAGATTCCGCACATCGGATGCACAGCCGCTGCGACTATGAATAAGTTAATCCTCCACCTTCCATACCAATATCTGTCGCACTAGCGGGAGGACAAAGAATGGATTAGGCTAAGGCCAAATAGCTAATGCCAAATAGCTAGCTGCTGATTAACACATGTTGCTGCTCCAGTCGCAGTGCACTGAAAATGATTACTGATTACTGGTTAGAAGCAGCAAGTAGAGTTTGCTCTGTGTAGCTGCATCAATCGTCACTCATGGGCAAAGGCCCGTTATGTTGTGTTGCGCTCAATATATTTTGCGTCTGCGAAGTGTTTGTCAAGGAACTTCTTAAATTATGACACTGACTTTGCCTCAACTATGTGCTGCGGCAAGTCGTTCCATACATTCACCACTCTGCGTGCGAAAGAGAGTTGGTGAGCGATCCGCTTCAAATACGTTGCGACAAGCTTGTATCGGTGTCCTCGTGTGTTGGTTGGTGTGCGCAGATGAAGCAGCGGTCTAAACATAGAGTAATCACCCAGATGTAATATCCGGTGCTTCAAGATGAGGTCAACCCTCAGTCGACGATAAGCTTGGATGTACAGCCTTACTTTCTTACACCGGTTTTCGTACGGCGCACCTCGTAAGTTGGGAATCAGCCTGATGGCTACATGCTGCACTCGCTCAATCTTTTCTACTTCGCCCCGGGTGATAGGACAATACTCGTGAGAGCCATACTCTAGCCTTGGTCGTATTATTGAGACGAAGAGCCAGTGGCAATCTCTTCGGAACAAGTGCTGAAGCTGCGTCTGAGGGCCCAAAGCATACGAAGGCTGTTTTGGTAAATCCTGTTCGTGTTTTCCATGGACTTTAGGTCGTAGCGTGAAGGTGCACCGAGGTCGCGTACGAAAGGCGCGGAATGCAACAGTTGACCAGCTCACACTTACCCAGCCTCATGAATTGCGACTTGACCGGGTTGATAGGAAGGATGACTTATGCAGACCACGTGGAGAGGGGGTCGAGGTCCTGCTGAAGGAAATCACAATCACTGGGGGTGCGGATTACTCTCCACACCTCCAAGTCATCTGCAAACAACGCACAAGGTGATTGGAGTAGCTGAGGCACATTGCGTACATGGATGAGAAAAAATCGGCCCCGTTACAGTGCCTTGGGGCACGCCACTGTTCGATGGATACCAGTCGGTTAAATGGTTGTCCATCTGGACCCTCCACTTTTGATCAACAAGGCAATTCCTGATCCATTGGTGCAGCGAGCCACCAACACAGCACATCTTGAGCCTGTGGAGGAGCACTGCATGATTTACGTTGTCAAAGGCCTTACTGAAGTTAATGTAAACGACGTCGACCGATTTGCCTTGGTTCAGCACTCGTAACAATTCGTGCCTCGACAACAGTAGGTTGGTGACGCACGAGTGACGTTTCACGAAACCATGCTGTGCGGGCGTCAAAAGGCTTTTCGACTCGAGAAGTTGCAGTATGTCTTTCTTTACGATCTTCTCGAGCGTCTTTGCCAAAACAGCGGTCAGGCAGATCGGCCGGTAGTTATCCACTTTTCTTAGGTTACCACCTTTCGGTATTCGCTTTACAACTGAGCATTTTCAGTCGCTCGGTAATATTCCAGTGGATAGTAATCTGTTGAACAGCTTAGTTACAGAAGGCGAGATAATGGCCGATAGGGACTTGATGACCAGTGGGTGGATTCCATCTGGGCCAGCAGGCTTCGTCCCGTCAAGACTTGCTAGAAGCTTGCGTACATCTCCAATGCTGCCGTCTAGGCTTTCTAGTTCCGCGGGATCGGTACTCGTCGAACTCATTACAGACACCTGGTCACTTGAAAATACGGAGGCGAAGTGCGCCGCCAATGCGGACGCACAATCTGTACTCGAGGTTTGGGGCTATCCATCTGAGCCTTCCAACACTGGAACATTGCCTGCAGACCTCAGGCGCCGCTTCACGTAGGCGAAAATCCTCTTGGGAGCAGTTTTTGCCGCGGTTGCAATCTGCTCTTTGAAGCTTTTGCGTTTTTCCTTTTCGCTTTGTTGCAGCGATTTCGTGGTATCTTGTACACATTTTAATACTTAGCAGAGTCAGATAACAAGAATTTGTTCCATAGTCTGCGTCGTCGTCGGGCCAGTTTGTTGTACTCCTTTTCGAAGCAGTGTGGTTTGATTGACTCAACTTTCTGACAATTGAGGGGTACGAATCAGGCGCACAACGATTTCACTCCCTCTTTAATGATAGTCCAACAGGTTTCAACAGCCGAATGCTGTGGTAAAGACCAGTCTATCTGGGTCGCTGCTCGAATGAGACTATTAAAGTCCGCCTTCCAATAGTTGAAGGCCGGCTCTAGCGGGGGAGAATACGGAGGCAGCAGTTCCAAGCTGGCTATGATCATCGAGTGGTCACTCGCTCCCAGAGGCTCTAAGACTTGAATGTCATGCATACTTTACTCACAGCTGGTCAAAAGCAGGTCTAAGCACGATGGAGTCGAGCGCGCAGTTATGCGTGTCGGTTGGTTGATGTGCTGTGTGGCCCCGGTTTCAGATATCAACTCCGTACTTCTTCTCGACTTCACAATGGCCGGGGAGAAGTTCAGCCTCACGTCACTGTATTCGGGGTAAGTTAAAATCGTCCATGAGTAGAAATAGCTGACGACTCATGTGGTTGCGGACATGCGGCAACTAATCCAAACAGCGGCTCAGTGGACTGCGGTATACTACGCCCAGGAGCATCTCGCAGCCTCTGAGGTGGATCGAACACCATAACCGCTCACATAGACTATCAGCTCTTCGATAGGCGCGCACTAGTCCCCCACAGAAAGAAGACTTTATGTAAAGTAGAACGCCACCGCGATCATTAGATGGTCTATCACAGCGGAAGCAGGAGTAGTCACTGATTTCTACTTCTTGGGCGGTTACATCGGAGTTTAACCATGTCTCAGCAAGACCTAATACCTCTGGTCGCCGAGAGGTTACAAAGTAGTAAAGCACATCGCGCTTGTTCATCAGACTGCAGACGTTAGCAAAGGCTACTCACAGACCGTCGTAGGAATCGCTGGGCGCCTGAAGCAGCAGAAATTTGCTGAGCCAGATTCGCGGAGGAATCCGGGCAACTACCAGAAAATTTACAATAGGGAGATTTGTTTCTCCATCGTCCGTGCGTCGCAGACTTGAATTTCTCTCTGTCTGCTGGGTCTAAGTCAGCGCGCAAGTGGATCTCTAGACCTTTCAGCCTATTAAGACGTGACAATAGTAACTTAGGGCTTGCCTCTTCGACAAAAGTCACCCTCATAGGTCGAATTTTGCCATCGGTTCTCTTTCCTAGACGAGCGATCTGTTTCACTTTGAGCCCGCCCTCATTCACGTCGAGCAGTCTATGAATCAGAGATTGCAAAAACTCGACATCATGTTCATAGCGCACCTGAGGATTGGAATCACATGATTCAGTTGCGTGAAAGACCATGAGGCTGCAGCGCCTCAGGTCGCTAGACATTGTTCTTGATTTCTTTGATGTTTGCATTTTCCATTCGTTATCACCAATTTGCTTATTGCAAATTAGAGCTCTAGTGTCAACAGAAGAAAGCGTGGGCCTTGAAGGCGAGCCTGTCGGAACGCTAGTACTTTGCTTCAGGGACCGATACGATGTTGTACTAGGCGCTGGCTGTTTCTCTGACTGTGGTGTAGGACAAATCGAGCTGGGCGTTTTAGAACCCTTCGCTCCACTGATCCGCTTATCAGGCTTTTCGGCTTCATTCTGCCCATGTTTAGATTGACATTGTTTACAAATGTTCTTCAAAAAATCGTGCGAAATTAATTTAATTGTTCGAAATTCGTCCACAGAGAGACAAATGCACGAAATATGAAATTTTAGGCTGCATAAACTGCATGTAATCGCATTTGCGCGATGTCTAACGACTTTGGAGCAAATACCACATGTTGACTGCTCTGCCATTTCAAAAATAGGTGGCGATCGACACGAGTAAATCAGCGTAATGTAGAAGCAGAGAAGTTATGCTAAACTAGTACAGGTAGTTATGCTGAACTAACTCTAAATAAGTAATGTGCGTGAATTGCGCCGACTAGAGCACAAATCGACTCTAACAATAAAAAGAACGAGATAAACTGGCCTGACTAGGACACTAGCAAAACACGACCAGGACGGACGAAAATCAAGGCAGACGAGAACGAGAGTACGGCCGAAAAGGTTTCAAATATATTACTGGATAATTCAGAATCACAAATAATACCGAATTAAACAACAGAAGACAACAAATTACGAGATATGACACAGAAAACCTGAACGAACTGGCCTGGGAGCGGAGCAAGATATTTCGCACCTGCCGCCGTGGCCTTGACCTTGATGATGAATAACACTTACTGATTATCCCAAATGTGATCATTGACAAAAGGAACACCGCAGCGATCCATGAGGTGATTTTGCTCCCCTCACAGGCGTACCGCGGAAAATCCGGCTCTGATAACTCTTCTTTGACACATTTGGCAGCCGGCTGGCTGAACGAGGTGGAGGATCCTAGGATGGCCGATTGTGTCGAAGTGATTGCTTCAGTCAGAGTGGCTGTCAAGAAGGAGTCGTTCGCATAGCCAAAGTTCACCTCTACGAGGTGTGAGTTCCAGTCAAGAACGTGAGAGGAGGAGTTATAGTTGTCCCAAGACAGAGTCTCTTCTGTCAAGAATGCGGTGGTTTCGTTCGCACCGCTGTAATACACTTCGTTCGGGTTTGTCATCCTGTGCAAAATGGTTGTGCTCGACAGACTAACTACAATATTCTTCGTACAAAGTTCGGACAACGTAAAGCAGCAGTGTTGCGTGTTCAGCTTATCTGACAGGCTTCACTCTCGTGTTCAGTGCACTCTTGGACAAACGGACGCACGCTCCCTATTTCAGCAATCATGTGAACCACCTCACCTGTCTGCCTCCCCAGTTTTGTATGCGCCAAGACACATAGTGTGCACGATTCCAGAATCAGGGCCTTTCTTCCCCCGCACCTATCCGAATGCAGAATGACCCGAGGGTGGTTGCCGCTACCCAAAAAAATCATGTACTACTGAGGGTGCATGGCGGCGCTTTTAACCTTGCAGCTTTTACGTGAAGTGTGGATGCGGGTTGATGGGCGTTGTTTTCCAGTGTGTGCACCGAATTATGACAGGCGGACCGAATTGCTTAAGTAGGGGCGTTCAGCCGCAGCGCGAGAGAAGTTATGCTGATGCACGTTCGATTTAGATGTGCAATTTCGTTTGGTAACGCTATCGGAATCAAATGCCTTTGACCTAATCCACGTCTGAAGTGAATTACATTTGGTTTAACCTTGAACTCTGGAATCGTCACCAGCTCTATGTGGTCCATGGCGCATTATGATACAATGCCACATCGACATAGCGTTGTCTAACAACCCCAAATTAGTTACTGAGGTTTGGGACGAGATAATCTCTGATGGCTACGTAGAAGCTGATTAAACAAGGGCATACAATAGTTTGTTTTGGCAGTCGCGTGTTTACCAATAACTTTTACCTTTTTATTCAAGTACCCCTTAGGAACTACCGCTATTGGCCTCCAACGTCGTATTCGATACTTGGTTTACTTTTGAGCGGAACTTGCCAACCGTGTATGCTGTAGGTAGATATCGGTCGATACTCTAGTAGGCCTAAGATAAAGCTAATTCTCTGGTAACTTGGTGCCACCAGCGTCATTTGCAATCATTCAATTCATTCTCATCAACAATACCCACCGGAAACACACCTCAGCTAAGGTGCCGCAGTATAAAAAAGATAAGATTAAAAATGCAACTATACAAATGATTCCAAGCAAAGAATATGATGTTAAATATTATATTATGCATTTTGTATGAGATCGGGATTGCTGGGGTATCTGAAGGGAAGGAGGATTGACGAAGAAACTCACAACAAAAATGCCATGGGGGCCGGCTCTTCGCCATATCAGCAAGTGTGTCCAAACGTGTTCATCGTCCTTAGGACCCTAGCCAGGCAGTCGGGATGCACCAATTAACACCAGCTTCGAATTGAGGCTGGCTTGCCGAACAACCTCCTCGTGGTGCCAGCTGGGTGGTTCGGGGTTTTCCCGTTCCAGGAAATGGTTCGACGGCAGTGTTCCAGGACGTGGTCGGTTTTCGCCTGGCAAGCCTTCTCCCTATAAAAAGCCACATATGTCCGTTTAACAACACTGTGACATGGCGGATGTGACTCGCGACTAAATAAAGTCACTGCCCCTTGCTTCATCCTGGCGAGGCATTGTATTCCAGCCACATTATGCTGTAGTTCTGGAGAGTATTGGGCCCCTGTTTGACAAAGGAACAAATGAAAGAAGTATGAATTGAGCAATCAGTCATCGGTTCCCAATGGGCGCGATTCCCTAAATTCGCTCCGCTGCCTTGCGGGCAGGCCATTCAGCCAAAACCTCGTGGTGTCCCCTAAATCAATACCCTACTTCGGCTTGGGCAACCGGGTAGTATCTCGCCCTCTGACGAAGTCATGCACATTGTTGTGTTGTTGCTTTTTACTATTTCTGTACCTTCGTTTGAATCCCATGGTTTCTGATGACATTATGTCTATTCGTAGACCTTTGCAAATATATATGTATATATATGAGGGTTTTTATCTAGCTTTTCAACCACTACAGTCTGTGAATTGTTACGTAATTTCTCACAATATTGGAAGATTGCCCACATGTGGAGTTCAGCTTAAAACCCCAAGGTACCGAATTTTCAGCTAAATCAGTTCACGCCCAGTAAACGTTAGGGTGCGCGGACATCGCCAGGGGCTCGTTGGTTGACAGTTTATGTTTATGAATACATTCTGTATATGCATTCTTTGGTGTTAGTTCTACTATAGGGATCATTGCATCTGGCTTTTTGGCACAACTTTAGCAGAAATTTTGTGTTTGAGACGTGCACTGACCACAACAAAATAAGTTGTACTACTCTTTATTATTGAGGACCAAAGTGATCAATAGGAAAACTTAACGCACCGTCACAGTTGAAAATATACGCTTTGGTCCTTTACTCACTGCTTGTTTATCGGAAGTGTCTAGGTGAATAAACCACTGACCGACTATGGCTTATAGTGATCCATCACTCGAAGAACGTGTCGTGTGTGTCCCACTGTGCAGTGTTCCACTGAGGTCATGATTCGGCACTTTCAACATGACCCATTTGTTTGTTTAATTCGCACTAGAAGAGAAGCATATCAAATTTAATGATCTGTTCCAGGGTGGCACTAAATTATCACCCATGCACGAGTGTATCACATGAATCATTAAAGAAAACCAGGTTAAGCTGATTGCTTCTCCGTTTACTCCGGTCGGAAGAAGCAGTTTTCTCGTCAGATGGATTTGTTCGTATGGTTTTACGCACTTCAGGTAAACATTCGTGGATTAAATATGAGCCTATCATACACTGTGGCTAAGGGAACGGCAAGGAGTCGGATGAGAGCTCAGTTCTCGCAGGAATACTATCTCAATTTCCTCTGCACTCTGATCCAATCCATTAGGTAAGCCACTGGCAGTGAACAAGTGTGGGGTACTCCTATTATTACCGTAACAACATCGGCTCGAATATGATGTAGCTCATGCATTTTAACGATCTGTGGGTGCTAGACTCACGGTTGTCTTTACGTTTATCTTCCAACTAATCAGATGCTTCTTATCGCGTTATGGGACACACGAGAGTTTCGCAACACAAGGGTTAATGAACCCATAACTGCGCGATAATGTGCGCGGTAATGTTAGGTCAGGAATTGTGTATTGGAACACATATAACACGTAATTAACTATGGCATAATATCTTACTTTACTTTACTACGGCTATCTACTGCGACAGGATGAGCCGGCTTCATGAATGCTGTGAATTGCTGCTTCACAAGCGCGGCGGTCGGCGGCAAGCTCCAGGCAGATACTGATCCAGTTATTCCTCCAGTGACGAGCAGCATGCACAACGTAGAGTCCCAGAAGATCGACGTCCGATTTCACTACAGAGAGCCACGTTTCAAGTATCCACCACGACGCTGACACCAACCCTGGTAAGGCGAGGGTGAAACCACAGCCCTAGTGAAGTCCGTGTCTGGTCTGCGGAGGACGTGACCGAACCACTAAAGTCTGCGGCGTTAGCTGAGCGTTGTGAGCTTCGGAAGAAGGTAACAGCGCTTACGGATTTAGTCATTGGTGATAAGCTCATGCCATTGCGCTGTTTACATAAGCCTTAGACACCAATGTTCGAAAACTTCTAGCTTCCAAGTGTTTTTAAATCGCAGCAGCCATGTTTCGCTACCGTAGGAAAAAGCGCAACAAAGTTTGATGAGAATACTCGGATCTTCGTTCCCAGACTAATTTCCGTCCTTCGCCAAAATGTGTTTCTCAGTTGTAAAATGGCTGTTTTAGTGCTGTCAATACGATTCTGGATTTCAGATGTAGCCTGACCATTGGGGAGTATAGTAGATCCGATATATTTGAACTCAGGAACAGATTGGATGAGTACTCCATGGAAGGAGAGCGACGGATAGGACTGGGTGGCTAACGATGAGATGTATTTCGTTTTGCTGATGATAATTTCGAGGCCGATCATAGAGACTGATTGGTCGACCTAATATAGCATCTTCCGCAAGAATACCGATATCGTTAGCAAATTCTAGATTTGACAGCCAGAAGTCAGGGCTAACTTAAACACCACGATAGCCCTCAAGGGTATGATGCATAACCCAGTCGACTGGGAAGTTGAACAGTACTGGAATAAGTGGGTAAACCAGCCGAACTTCAGTATGGAGGTCGAATTCCTCTGTTTCTTCTCCATGTACACGAATCCGGGCCTTCCTGAAATGGTAGTATAATCGCATCAAATTAACGAGTTTAAACGACACGCCATCGGCAAGTAGGATTCTCCAGAGTGCTTCGCGGGCAACTGAGTCAAAGACAGCTCAAAGCTCAAGGAAGCACACAAATTGCGCTGCTGGAACCGGTAGTGGTGTTCGAGTACTCGACGTAGAGCGAAGATTTTGTCAGCGCAGCCTCTGCCTGGATGAAAGCCACCTTGGTTACGATGTGTTCGCAGGTTCCTCTCATTGGCAACGCAGGAAAGCAAGATTCCTAAGAACGTTTTATCATCCACATCGATTATACTAATCCCGCAATAATTACTGCACACAGTTAGGTCACCTTTGTTGGGAAATAGCAGGAGTACTGAGGTACTCCATAAGGAAGGACAGATTTGGTGCAAATGATCAAGCAGAGCTGATAGACAAGCTTTGTAGATTTCCGCTGGAATCCCGTCCGCTCCCGGGGCTTTCTTCGGCTTCAGGTGACGAACGATGTCTGCAATTTCTGTGGAAGATGGCGGTGAGCAATCCGCGTCATATCCTGGCTGGGTTAATGCTGATATGGGTGCGGTGGTGTGTAATGGACAGTTTAGGAGGTTGCTAAAATACTCTATCCATCTAGACAGTTTTCCTTCGGTATCGAGGATGATTTGACCTTCCGAACTGCGCAATATCGGCTGTCGTGAATGGTGCTTGCCAGAAGCTAAACAGGCAAGACCAAAGAAGTGACCCAAATTGCCAGAATTTGCAGCAACTTCCATGTTGACTGCAATAACAGACCAGTAGCGGTTGTGATCATTCCGTGCTGAGCAGGCTGCCACACGTCTCAAGCGACGGTAGTCTGGGGAATAGGTGATACCTGCTTCTCCCGCTTTAGCGGACAAGGGATAGTATCTTCAGTGGTCCAGTCCTTCACAGGCTTAGAGGTGGAGCCCAAGGTAGTTAAGGCGACGTGTTGAACTGACGATTTTAGCCTAGGCCAATGAGCGTCTACAGATTCATCCACTGCAATTACGAGGCGTGGTGCGCTGGCAGAAAGTTCTGCTT